TTTTTTTTTTTTTTTTTTTTTGGCCTGTGATGATTGGCACAGTAAGGGTTTGACATAAATTGAAAGTTCTAGGAAATTGAGAGTTTAATCTTAATAAACATGAGGGCATTAACTTTAACACCTTTTAAAATATATATATATATATATATTTTTTTATTGATTTCAGAGAGAGGAAGGGAGAAGGAGAGAGAGAATTAAAACATCAACAATGAGAGGGTCATTGATTAGCTGCCTCCTGCACACCCCCTACTGGGGATCAAGCCCGCTACCTGGGCATGTGCCCTGACTGGGAATCGAATCACGATTTCCTGGACCATAAGTCGATGCTCAACTGTTGAGCCACGCCGGCTGGGCTTAACTGCTTTTTAATGGAAATCTTTCTGAAATGTGGAGTGTTTTTTAAAAGTAAAAGTGTTTTTTACCAGCTTCCAAAAATTCTGTTGTTTGAGAACTTGTGCCATTAAAGAAACAAAAACTTAAGTATAGAGTTAGAGGGAACAATAAGACCGAATTGACTTCTCTTGCCTGGTATATCAAACAAAAATTCTGCTATTGGGATATGTAGTGGTATTGATTGATATGAAAGAATAAGTCTTTGCCCCTGATTACACTTTACTTGGCTTGAGACACCAGTCTTGGGTCTTCCTGTTGAAGAGGACACTGTATGTGTGGAATGCAGGAGGCTGCTCTGTGACCAGGAACCCTCTCCGTTCTGTGGTTATGTGTCATGGGTGCCATTTGTCATCCTTGTGGACTGTTAATTTAGATGGATCCACAATTCAGCAAAGAATGAAATTTCCAACCCATACTGCATTCCTGGGCAGCTACCAGAGAAAATGGGTGCTATTCCTTTCTGTGAACCATTATGAAGTGACTCCTCTCCTTTTAATTGTCACTTTTATACCCCTCAAGTCAATCAAGTCTTCTCATAGGTTTCATAATCTGTGATTGGTGTTGTCAAAGAGTAATTCTCTCTCTAGTGGCATCACTCAGGCTAGTCAGTATTTTGCTTATCCTTTGTGACAGTTCAAATCTACCACCTGTCTGGTTCTTCCCTCACTCCTTCAGTTACTTGCTCTCACGGCTCTTGAGTTGTCTATTTTGTACACAATATTGCTGCTTTGTACTGAGTGTTTGCATGTGCTAAGTGTTCTTTAGTACATAGGTGAAGTGTTCAGAAAAAGTTGAATGAACAAATTACGGTTCTTCATTTTTCCTTCTCCCCCTATATGCTATTTTTAATTTTTTCCACTGCTTTTTAGATACTTGTACCAGCAGTCATCAGTCAGTTCATTGTCATTTTCCTGTTCATAATCAGTTGGAAACAGCTATTGTGACCCTGTTCTCTCTGATTCCAAGGGTCTTGCTGTGAGTGGAAGAGCCCGTTTACTCCTCACTTTTAGAAGCCACTCACCCAGTCTGCCATGTCTTCATTGTCTTCCTGGTGTCAGCACCCGTATTCGTCAGCTTGGTTGGGTCCAGCCTTGCTAAAGAGGGGATTGGCAGAGTTCCTGCCCTGTTTTATAAGGTGATTGGCAGGAAGAATGAGAAATTGAAATTCAGAGCAGTCAGATTCAGACCAGTGCTGTACAAATGTTAATTGTTATTATTATTAATTATGCAAGCTAGCCTTCGTTATCATTGATAAATGAGTTAACTACACACACACACACACACACACATTTTTTACTAGTGGTAACTGTAGTATTTTAGGAAAATATTATTTAAAGTCAAAAGAGCTTTTGAAAATCATGCATCTCAAACCCTCACTTGGTTAAAATCTGTAGATTTTGCCGTGTGCTAAGTTCTCATAGCTAGCTGGTGGCTTTGTTGGGTGCTTCTGTGAGCCCCTCCAGAGTTACTTGTCACCCTTATCCATTCTCCTCTGCACGCCAAGGGGCTGACTTGTGTGGAAGACTTCAGAGGTTACTTTGCCTTCTGGTTTCCCACAGGAGTTGTCCATGGAGGAGCACTAGTGGGAGAATGGAAGGAAGGTGGAGATGCAGGGTCCCTGAGGGCTGGCTGTGTCCCTTGTTCAAAGGTTATAGCTTCTGTCAGGTGACCCACTCCATACAGTTCCTGGTTCTGACAATCACTCCTTCCCTTGTCTGGTCCCTTTGGGCCTCGGGGTGGTATAAAGCTCCCTATTTCAGCCTCAAGGACTGCCCTCTCTGTTGTGGCTTTGCTGTACTCTCCCCACACTTCTATAAATAATCCCTAATTAAACATTCCTCATATTGCTCAGTTTGAGGGTGTGCCATCTGTTTCCTGCCAGGACCCTGACTCATAAAGTACTGGGACCCAGATCTCCTGGGCTGCCAGCCCTGTGCTCTGTTTGTGGGGATTAGCCTCCATCAGTCTTGAGTCCCTGAGTGACTGATGTGAACAGAGAGAGGCTTCCAGTGCAAACCCTCAGTGGACATGTTGTATGAGTAACAGATAAAACTATTCTTGGGTTCAACCACTGAGATTTTAGGAATTTTGATATTGCAGTAGAAAGCAGTCCCATCATACAGGGCCTAATTTCTTTTCTCTAGGTTGGAGGAGATGATAGTGCTACCCACAGGCTTTTATGAGGACTGAGATTGTAAAATATTTAGCATAGTGCCTGCTTCATGGTAAATCCTTAATTATTGTTGTTATTATCATTGTTAATTTTTCTTTAACATTGAGTTAAAAACAAGACAATTCTTATGACATATACAATTAACCCTTGAACAACACAGGTTTGAGCTGCGTGGGTCCACTTGTATGCAGTTTCCCCCTCCCCAATAAATACTTGTACTATTTTCAATCCATAGCTAAGAGTCTGCAGATATGGAGGATATTGATCTACCCCATTACATATTGGGGAGTTGAGCATCTTTGGATTTTGGTATCTGCAGGGGGTCCTGGAACCAATCCCCCATGGATACTGAGGGACAAACTAAGACTTGGGGGAGACAAAAATTATACGTGGATTTTTGACTGTGCAAGGGGGTCAGTGCCTCTAACTCCCATGTTGTTTAAGGGTCTCCTGTAATGATAAACTAGTAAACATTTTGTATTAGTTGGAGTTCTTCAGAGGAACAGAACAAATAGGAGAGGTGTGCATGTAGAGAGAGACAGAGAGAGATAGACACAGAGAGAGAGAGATTGATTGATTGATTGATTGATTGATTGATTGAGAGATTATAAGGAATTGGCTCATGCAATTATGGAGGCTGAGAATTCCCAAGATTGGCAGTCCAAATCATAAGAACCAGGAAAGCCAGTGCTGTAGCTCAGTCCAAGTCCAAAGGTAGGAGGAGACTGACATCCCAGCTCAAAGACAGCCAGGCAGAGAGATTGAGTTCTCCCTTACTCTGTCTTTTTGATCTAGTCAGGCCTTTAACAGACTAGATGTGTCCCACCCACATTGGGGAGGGCCATCTGCTCTACTCAGTCTACTGATTCAAATTTCAATGTCATCCAGAACCTTACAGACACACCTGGAATAATGTTTAATCAAATATCTGGATACCCCATGGCCCAGTCAAGTTGACACATAAAATTAGCCATTACAGGTTTTATGTAAGGAACCACAGATATTGTTCAAATAATAAATAATCCAGAAAATAAGAACTTTTTAGCCTAATCTCTAAGGATTTTTCTTCTTGTGAAACCTGATAAACTGTATTTAAGAGTGAATGAAAGGTATTGACATTGCTCACTATCAATAAATGAAATAAATGTTTTGAAAAGGAAGGCATGGTGGGGGTAGTGTAGTTTTGGAATCTCCCTCAATGCCTAACAAAAGTAGAGAAAGCAGGACAGCCAAGGAAAAAACACAGAGATGCAATAGCTGACAGATTATCCTCATGAATCCCCAAGTATCGACTGGTGGAGTAAAACCACCAGCAGCAGTGAGACTTAGGGATAGAAACAGCAGCTGTGCTGAGGAAGGGGAGGGGAGAAGAAGGGGCTGCTGTTCATTTTGACTGTCAGGGAACCCTGAAATTTCCCACAACTATTCACACTCTAAATGAGGGCGTCCCCACTAGGAGTGAACAACCTCATAGGCATATTGGAAAACAACAGTTAAAACTGGGAGAGGCTTTACAGGCTTCAGTGGGTGAGGTCGAGCAAGGAGACTGGAAGAGGTGTGAGACTTCTGGAATGACATGGGCACTCAGGACTCTCAGAAAATACCTATGGAAGATCTATCTGGAAGCCACTCCCTATTCTTGAACTGCTAGCACCATGACCCTTGATGGGGCATTAAAAGGGAAAGAAAGTTAAGATACTAGTGGAGGAGGAAATCAAATGAAGTAGATCTCAGAGTGCTGGGGAGGTGGTTACACCCAGAGGCCATGTTTTTAATACTTCAATGTAAAACCAGAAGAGGGAGCCCCAGAACCATGAAACAAGGAGATCTATTCTGTGCCTTCTACTCCGACTTAATATGAGGAGCAGAAATGGATTGAGGTTGAACTTCATGCAAACATATTGTAAGAAAAATGAAGTTAATCCTTGTGAATAATAAAGTTACAGATAATGAAGTCATACCAGAAAAATAGGGTCGCAAGGCAGACAAAACTTTACAGTGGTACCTCAGTTTTTGAACGTCTCTGTTGATGAACATTTCGGGTTACGAACGCCTTAAACCCAGAAGTAAATGCTTCGGTTTCCAACATGCCTTGGAAGTCGAACATGCCACACAGCTTCCCCTGAGGGCAAGATCCTGAGGCCCAGCTGTTGGCTGTTGATCCCTTGGTTTTTGAACGTTTCAGAGCTCAAACTGTCTTCCCGAACGGATCACATTCGAAAACTGAGGTACCACTGTATTAATATTCCAACAGAACCTAAAGGAAATTTTCAAAAAGTGATAGAAGTTATAAAAGAACTGTGTGTATCATATTGGAAAATTTAGAAATGAAAGGACTAAAGAATAGGACATTATGAAAAGAGAGCCAACAAAAAGGAATGGAGTAAAAGAGATGTAAAAAGCATTTAAAAAATAAATTTTAAAATGGGCAAAACCAAATGATAGTGTCAGGAAATCTACATTCGGTGGTCAAACTATAAGGAAATGCAAGGAAGCAATTACTATAAAATCAGGTTATGGTTACTTTTGAGTGAAGGAAGGGGTTTGAGATTAGGATGGAACACATGCGGGGAGTTCTGCGGAGGCTGGCAAAGTTCCATTTCTTGAACTGGATGATGGTTATAAGAGTGGTTGGCTTATAACTCACTAAGCTAAACATTCATTTGGTTTATTTTTCTAATTGTATCAGTTTGTAATGCTTTTGGCTGCAAATAACAGAAAAACCTTGCAATGCCAGCTTAAACAAATAGCTGTTTGTCTTGGCTAACAGTCCTGAGCTGGTGCCAGGGCTCCTGCTACAGTCAGGCATCCAGATGCTCAGTGTGCAGTGCTACTGGCATCTTGTGGGTAAAGGCCAAGGATGCTGCTAAATATCCTACAATGCACTGGACAGCCCCCCACTAAAAATAATTTTCTGGTCCCAAATGTCAATGGAGCTGAAGTTGAGAAACTCCAAACCCCTTTCAGGGGGTCCATAAGGTCAAACTGATTTAATAATAATAATAGTAATACATCATTTATCATTTTTACTTTCATTCTTTAACAAGTATGCAGTAGAGTAGGGTTTTCTGGAGGCTGCATTAACATGTGATTTTGACTACCTGTTGCTCAAATGCAGAAATAAAGATGAGAACCATCTGTCTTACATTAATCAAAATTTGAAAAAAATATTAAAAGAATGTATCTCTTCTCACTATTTTGTTTTGTTTTGGGAATATTATTTTCCAAAATATGTTATCATATAATGGGCTTGTTAGTAATTTTAAATGAGTAAATATTTAATTTTTCCTGCTTTACTCAATGTAGTAAATATTGATAGCTATAGTTTACAAAACTAAAGTTCTTTTAGGGCCTCAATAATTTTTTAGTTTAAAGGAGTCACGAAGCCAAAAGTTGGAGAACCGCTGGTCTGGAGACTAGCTGATTTTTAAATGCCTAAGAAATATGGAGACTATGAGAAGTGTAATTATGTATAGTCAGTCTGTCACAAACAAAGACTTATTTCACAAACCACCATTAAAGCCTTCTCTGTGCCCTGACCCTCTGCTGGGTTCTGGGAGCACAGTGGTCAATAAAATAGGCTTTCTGCCCGATAGTAGAGCTGAATCACATTAATTATGATTATGTTTTTTAAAGTTCCATAACAGAGGTTTTTTTCCAAAGTGTGACAGGATTACAGTGAAGCTCAGTGTTTCTGTGCAGTGTTATTAGAATGAAGCATCATCTCACAGCTCATTCTGATTAGGAAGATTGCCATTTTCCTTTCCACCATAGACAGACAACCTGCCTTTGACTTGACTGTCTCCCAAACCACCTGATACCACTGAAGATAAGAATTGCTTCTATAAATTTGTCGCCGATGGCTTAAGGTCAGAAACTCAAACTAATTTATGTGCTTTTGGCTCATTTTTTAGTGACTGTACTGGCGATATTTAATGAGTTACATGCAGATGTGGACCTTTATGCACTTCTGTTTGGAGAAAGCGTCCTAAATGATGCTGTTGCCATTGTGCTGTCCTCGTAAGTAACAATATTTATGCCTGAATGCTCTGGGCTAAATTCAGAGGCCTGTCTTAAAAAGGTTAAAATTGAATTGGGTGTTTTTCTAAATGAGGTTTCTCAACTTTATTGATAATGTTGTGTTGCTTTGTCCAGTTGGCAGCAGTCAGAATGCTATATCAGTGTAACATGGTGACTGCAGATTAAGTTCAATGAATGCAGCATAGGGAGTGCCTGGCAGAGTGTAGATACTTGTGTTTGTTGATAGTTTTTGGTACCGTGGTATAAAACCAGCAGTATTTTAAAACTTTTTCTTCTTTTTAAACTCCAGGTCTATTGTTGCCTACCAGCCAGCAGGGCTGAACACTCATGCCTTTGATGCTGCTGCCTTTTTTAAGTCAGTTGGCATTTTTCTAGGTATATTTAGTGGCTCTTTTACCATGGGAGCTGTGACTGGTGTTGTGACCGCTCTAATATCCTTTTTGTAGTTTCTGCCCCTGCCTGGGTATGATTATGTGACATTACAATTGCAAAAAGAAAGTTGTCAGTTCTTCCTTTCAGAAATGAATCTTAAATCTATTGTTCCACTGGAGTTTGGGGGCTCTTGAAATGCCCCTCTGGTGAAAAATGACAGTCAAGTGCTTGGCTAAGGGTCTGAGGAAATGTTTGGAGTGTACCTCTAGGCTTAGCTCTGTCCTACAGAGGTCAAGGTCTCACAGCCTTATCTTCCTAGGCCAGCCCTAGGCACTCCCAGCACTGTTAGAACTAACCTGACAGACTCAGGCCAAGACTGTGCCTTTCAGAACCATGAGCATTGCAAGGAGCACAGAAAACCCATTTTCAGTTTCTTTACAAAGCTTAATTTTAAAAAGCAGCTTTATTGAGATAAAATTCACACTGTACAATTCGCCCTTTTGAAGTGTACATTTTGATGGTTTTTGGTATTTGACATTTATTTTTAAAAATTGTGGTAAAATGTATATAACAAAATTTGCTCTTATAACCATTTTTAATGTACATTTCAGTGGCATTAAGTACAACCACAATGTTTTCTGCTATTCTCACTATCTATTTCCAGAACTTTTTCATCATTCCAAACAGAAATTGTGTACTCATGAAACAATATCCCCCCTTTCCTGCCCTTGGTAACCTCTATTCTACTGGAAAGCTTAGTTTTTATTACTTTTAAAAGCAAGCGGCAACTTTGGGACCCCAAAAGAAGAGTTGAGGGGAAAGGATGGCCCTTAGAGAGGGGATCCTGGGCTAACAGAATGTGGTTCTTGGTGACTCTGGTACTTGTTCCTGGAGATGAGTTCCTTGACAGGGGTTGACGTGACCAAGTTTACCAAGCTGCACTGCTTCCCCCTGCTGGAGACTGCGCTCTTCTTTCTGATGTCCTGGAGCACGTTCCTCTTGGCAGAAGCCTGTGGGTTTACAGGTGAGTTTTCTCTACCCTTGGGCCACCCTTCCCCTCACTGTATACCGGGGTGCTGTGGGAGCTTGAGGGAAGGGAAGAATTCTTAAATAGCAGCTGCATGGAGTTGATTAACTACTCACCGAGTGTCCATGTGGTGGATTGCTGAGCAAGGCTGTTGTTCTACTTTATGAGTAATTTAGTTTCCCAAAGCTACATATTTTTAAAGGATAAAGTTTATTGTTTCAAACTTAGTTATATCTTTGAGTACTCATTCTAAAGATAAATATTTGTTTAGCTGCAGAGGTTACTGAACATATTAACATCTTATTTGTATCCTCCCCTAGGTTGCTATGTTAGTTTACAAACAGTAGCAATAACAGCTAAAATATGTGTCCTTTTAAAGGTAATTTTGTAACTACTCAGAAGAGTGGGGACACAGTTATTCCTTATTTTGTCTCTGGTTTGTTTAATCATTGTTTTTGAATACCATGTTTTTATGGTGCCAGTTTCATATATTAGTGCAAGTGATCATGTGGTTTTAGTTCCTCACATTCTCTCATTACAAAAACAAACAAAAAACCCAAATCACTGACTTTTTTTCCCATTAAAAAACTTAAATACAGTTACTATACATAATCCAGGTAGTTAGGAAGTCCTTTTATCATCTTTTTAAAATATTGCAATGTGTCTTTATATGCAGCATTATAAAATGCCTCACATCCTTAAAACTTCACAATTATCTGTAAATATATAAGCAAAGTCCCAGGTGTGTCAGTTGTCTTGCACAACAAATTGGTTACCATTAACCAGAAATCTAGATCATCAGGGCTTGGATAAATGGAATAGTTTTCTGGATCCATTTTGTCTGAATCCCTAGACCATGCAAAAATTTAAAGCATTGGTTTGAAATTAAACTCATTCATTCTAAGAACAGAGGGGGATATGACAAAAGTGTATGACAGGCCCTCACAGCCTCTTTGAATGCTAGATGCAAAATACAGGTGGTAATTCAGTAGTAGTTTAGAGGAGAGGAAAGAATACCCTTAAAACTGGAGTAAGAGAGGAGGTTGGGACCTTGGGTTTGAAGGGAAGGCAGAGTTGGGAGAAGGAAAGGTTGATATGAGTGGTGAGAGCAGGGGGAGCTTTCAGTAATAGGAAACTCAAAAATATTCAGTAACTTGGATATGCTGGACTTGCCTATCTTAACATTTTGTTTCACCAGGGATTTTTCCTGCTGCTTTTTATTCCATTGATTTTTTTAAAAACTTTCATGCTAGGTGTTGTAGCTGTCCTTTTCTGTGGAATCACACAAGCTCATTACACCTACAACAATCTATCGGTGGAATCAAGAAGTCGAACGAAGCAGGTGAGTAAGAGCCCTGGGTCCTCAACAAGTTTCTTGTGACTACAAGGGGAGGGGTCCGCAGGGTTTAATGCTTCCTTTTCCCTTTCCGAGCAGCTCTTTGAGGTGTTACACTTCCTGGCAGAGAACTTCATCTTCTCCTACATGGGCCTGGCACTGTTTACCTTCCAGAAGCACGTTTTCAGCCCCATTTTCATCATTGGAGCTTTTGTATCCTTTTTTGGTTCCACAGTTTTCTACACAGAGAGATTGCCATTGCTGAGGAAGCTATAGTAATAAAAATTTCTGTTTGGGGTGGGTGACTGAGCCAGTGTGACTTCTTGGTGTTTTTATGATGAGAAGGCTTAAAAGGTTCATAAAGCTAAATGTATTTGATTTAACAGACTGGCAATGATTTTTTAGGCTGTCCTTTCTGCATTTTCTGTGTAAGATGGCCTTTCTGTTATGCTGGTGCTTGGCAGGTGGCAGTTTGTTTTATAAAGAGCCCTTCTTAGCAGATCTAAGAGTAGGCAACCATGTCAGTCCCCAAAACTATTTTTATTTCATTGCTACATAAATTCCAATCCGGAAGGCTCCCTATTTGGAAGACCTGAAGGTTCTGTTACTCCTGCTCTTGACTGCATACTGGCATAGGCAGCCCTTCCTGACCACCCAGGGAAGCTTGCAGGCAATAAGCACGCTTTCACATATCATGCTTAACACACCATGGTGGAAAATACTCGTGTTTTTTTTCCCAAAAAGAGAAAAAGGAGAGGAAGAAAAGATCACATGGAAAAACACTTGGTTCCTTGATTCAGTCCCACTGGGAGTGCAATTTTTAGAAGAGAAACACAGTTTTGAGGGCTGGCTTCTCTCAAGTGAGGAGGAATGTGAATACCTAGCAGTGGATCGACAGCTGAGGGCTTTTCTCACTTGGCCTCAGATTCTATTGTTTTCATTAAAGTGAACTTTTCTGTGGCTTGGAACTGTAGCAGTCCAGCTCAGCCTGGATTTCAAGATCCGGAATAGGAGTTTGCTATTGCTGGGCATTCACTTTTACCTTTTCCCTAGACGTCATGGGTATCCTCAGGTCTTGAGATGCTGGCAAAAAAGAAGCGTGTTTTGTTTTTTTTGTTTTTTTTTTTCTTCCTGGGTTTTTCATTTCTTGTGAAGGAATAAGCGATAATCACCAGGCAGCTAGGTAGTGATAATGGTCTAATGCTATTCCAGAGTCCTTCCACTTAGAGAGGTTATCTGCTTTGACTGGTTCATTTCTTGGATTGACACTCAACAAACTAACAGCTAAAAGTCTGAGGGCTCAGTGTTGTTTTTCTTGATTAGGAAAGACCTTGCATGTCATTTTGATTTGCATTCCTAGCACGGCATCCTGTGAGAGATAGTGAGAGTCCAACCCTTGTTTACAGATGAGGACCCTGGAGGAGGGCCAGCCAGGTCCTTGGAATCCCAAAGGCTGCTTACCACGTAGGACTTCTGCATGGCTTCTGGGGTAGAATGGGCTTTAAAAGCACTACCTGTTTCCTTTTGTTAAAAACAAAACAAAAAAGCAAGATAAAAAAGGAAAATTTTAGTCAGTGCTTCTCCAGTTCTGCCCTCACTTCTGTCTGAAACAGCTGCAGCTCTGGCAGCTGGTGCTTTGCCGAAACGGAAGCTCCCTGTTCCTCTGGCTCCCACGGTGCTTTCCTCTGTGACCAGGGCAGTTTGCGCTCTCTGTTGGGCTCTGTTCTAAATTCAGCAAGTGACTAATGACGGATTTCCCTGAATTCTTTAGTTTCCATAGTACATTTCCTCTTCCACACTCTTCGTTTTCCATTTCTCATATCTCTGAAAGACATTTCAGCCACTTAAGTGGAGAAGTCTTCCGAGGTTGATTCTTGTGAGGAACATGAATGTCTTAGTATTATGAATACCTTAAGTTTCCCCACCTCTTATTTAGAGAATCTTGCTGGTCATTCAGGCTCCTGGCATTTGCTTCCAACTGAAGCTTCTGAGCTTACCCAGCAGACTTTCTCTTCATAGTTTGACTCAGGGGTTAGTAATTTTTTCTGCTTGTGTTTTTTCTTCCAAAAGACCATGACACAGTTTGCCTCTCTCAGCTGCCCACCCCTGTCATGGGACCTTAGCTTATTTCCAGGCTCCTATGAAGATAGATCAGATCGGTCATACCAGTTTAATTCAATCAGGAACTTACAGCAGTGCATCTAATGGGCTAGAAGCAACCTCTGTGTGCCAGGGGGTGGGGCTCTTGGTCGATTGAATACCACTTGTTGCTGAGATTTGTTTAGAGGGAAATGAGACAGCCTGGCTTCTCTGTGTAACTCTCCTGATCATAACGAGTTGTCACAGCATTCCTGAAATTCTCTGTTCAACCGGAGGTTGTGACAGTGGCATTCTGGAAATCTGTTCGTCCCTTAACCTCCATCTGGTGCTCAGGTTGCCATCTTCCTGGGCAGAGCTGCACATATCTACCCGCTTTCCTTCTTCCTCAACTTGGGCAGAAGGCATAAGATTGGCTGGAATTTTCAACACATGATGATGTTTTCAGGTAAAACAGTATACATGGAAATAAAATGAGTGTTCTTTAGCAGGCAGTGTTAGTATGATTAAAGTATCGATAAGGTTCATAAAAAGAAAAAAATTCAACTTTCTGGTTCTTTTGTATCCCCTGCAGTGCTGAGCAGACAGGTGTACATGGTAAACTGATTTAAAAAAATGTCTTTATTGATTTCAGAGAGAGGAAGGGAGAGAGAGAGAGAGAGAGAGAGAAACATCAATGATGAGAGAATCATTGATCGGCTGCCTCCTGCACTCCCCCAACCGGGGATCGAGCCTGCAACCTGGGCATGTGCCCTCACCAGAAATTGAACTGTGATCTCCTGGATCCTAGGTTGATGCTCAACCACTGAGCAGCACCAGCTGGGCCATGTTAAACTGACTTAATATTGATTTTGCAAACTCTACTACCAAATGTGAACATTCTCCCCTAAAATACTTGCATGTTTGTTTATTTCATCTCTACCACCCAGGGGGCCAGGAGGTATATATTGAAAGTGCTCGGTTGTTCTCTAGTAGATTGTTCATAACCCTTAATCCTCAAGAAGGGCTCCAGATGTAAAATTAGAAGTAAAATAGGTCTTTAATGAGAAAGGACATATGCCGGGTCACTCAACATCACCTATTCTGTGCTTTCTTTATCTCCACAGCTGCAGTATCCTCTATTGTAAAACAATGAAATTGAGCTGATTAGTTGAGGTCCCTCCTAGTTCTAACTTTCTCTGGAACAAAAGAAATAAAACATGCTTGTAAGAAAGATGAACCTCAACCTAGAAAACAACAGCTGTGATAGTTCTGCTGATTTACACTTTAGTCATACTGTCTCCCAGATCCCTCCCTCTCCACTCTGAAGCTAGGAAGTGTGGAGAAGCCACTGATACAATAAGGGACAATAAGGGAATGTATGGAGATAAAGAAAGCAGAGAACAGTCTGCATGAGTAGATGGTTTACTAAAGGGTGGTAAGCATCAGATTTGATAAATGAGACCCGTTAGAGCATTTCTGAAGAGCAAAGGGTGGAAATGGTGGCACAAAAGGCTACTGTGACCCTTAAAGTTACCTCTGTCCTGTGTGGGGGTTGGGGAGCTACTGTACAAGAGGCAAGTGAGTAGCTGCCCTTTACTGCCACACAGTAGTTCTTGAGAGCCTCAGAGTCATACTGAAGCCACACCAACTGGCACTGTCCAGCAAAGCAGTCACTGTCTAGTACTCACTTGCATTGGCCCTTAAATGTACAGCCTGCCATCATGATTTCCTTTCACTCTGACAAACATTTATCAACCATGCTCTTTTCATAAGCCACAGTTCTAGGTTATGGAGGATACAGAAACCAGCCTCTTTCAAGCTCAGTCTACTGGGGGGAGACAGGTGTACAAAGTGCTTTCTCTGAAGAGACGGGGGCAAATTGCACAAAAGAGGTATGGAATAAATGCAGAGGAGAGGTGGGGCCATCTTCACAAAGTGGTAACCTTTGAACTGATCTTGGGAAAAGTGGATTTCAGGAGGCAGCAGGTTGGAAAGGCAGGAAAATGTTGCCCTGTGGCTTTTTCACGGAAAGGTAGCAGTCTGGTTGAAATGTAAGACACATGGGGTAATGCAGAAAGAGGGTGAGGTTGGAAAGGAAAATTACATGTAAAGTGGTGTGAACCTTTAGGTTGCATTGGAATCATCTGTTGGGCTGGTTAAAGTGGAGGGTACAGGGCAGCCTCGAGAATTTTCATTTCTAACATGTTCTTTGCTGCTGCTGGTTTGAGGACCACACTTTGAGAACCACTGCTGGAGTCTAGACCATGGAGAAGCTCCAATGCTGTGCCAGTTTGGGTTTTACTTAGGAACAGCTGGGGAAACATTAGACGTTTCTAAGGAGGACAGTGACAGGATCCTCTTCACCTGTTAGGAAAGTGATGGCAGAAAGAGACAGATGAATTGGACATAACTCAGTCACCTAGATAAACTTAAAATATGTTTGTTATCTTCTGTACTAAAAGACTGAGAAGTGCACAGTGCTGTTTAAAGATATCTTCTATAAAAATTATTTTCTGCTGGGAGAACTAACTCTTCAAGACCATGAACTACCTGAGGTTTCACTGTCATATTGCTTATGTTTGCCTAATAAAATAAAGAAAAATATAGCACACGCTGTCTGTTTCTGACTCCCAAGTTTTCTTCTTTGAGATAACATCTCTTTAAAGGCTTAAATATTGATCAATTGATCAATGACATAACTGGCTTGTAGGGTAATGTAGATATGTATCAATATTTCACTAGGACAGATTAATAGAAAACATTAACTTTGCTCTGTTCTTTAATGTAACTTTTGTTTCCTTCTTCTATAGTAAATTGTAGTGAAGTTCTCAGTTTAATTGTGAAATTATTGGGAGAGGTGGGAAAATATACAAACAGATATAGTGGGCATAACTTTCATTCTCATATAATATACACAATCTTGCTCACGGTGTATAGAATTTATACTAGATATGTGTTAAAGACTATGGATTCAGTCTTTACTATAGAACAAAGTATGAGCACTGTATGAGGAAGAAACAAAAGAGCTTAGAAAGATAAACATTTAAAATGTTGGTGCTTAATCTTTACACCCGTTAATGTAGATCATTAGGGTTAGCAAACTATGGCACCTGGGCCAAATCTGGGTGCTGCCTTTGTTCATATACCCCTAGGGCACAGAGTGGCTTTTACAGATAAATATTATCTATTCGATGATCGGGAACAATAACTTTGAAACCCAAATAAGCACTCCCCACCCCCAAATAATTCCTTTCTTTTCAGTAATAGACCTGTATTACAACAAATTGTCCTCATTATTATTACAGTTTTGGTTTTTGTCAATCAAATTTTGTGAAAATTCATTTTCTCTCTTTTATGTGAGTACCTACATGATAGCCTTGATTTTTCCTCATGGTCCAAAAAGCATAAAATATTTCATATGTCACCTTTTACAGAAGTTGCCAGCCCCTGACGTAGATCAGGTTATATTGTTGCTTTTCTGTGTGGCCTTGCTAAGAAAATGTTGAACTGTTTTGTGGTTCATAGTACATGAGCCACAAATATGCATTTGGCATATTCCTACCTAGCCTGCTTCTTATGTTTTTAATGACTGTGTAGTGCATGGGTCGTGCTTGGATCACGGACTTGGCGAGCTTAAATTATTTCTTATTTATATTTCTTTTTATTTTCCATTACTAGCAGGAGAATTATTTCAGCAATAAAAGAGTGTTATTCTAAAATATGCTGCTGTACAAACTAGTGCACTGTTTTTATCATTGCATTTGGACATTTCGCAAAGGAAACTTCAAATAGGAGAAAATTATATTCCTTCAAGGCTCTTCTTTCTGAATAAAACAACTTGACTCTGGAAGTACAAGTGGATATGGTTTATGAGCCCTGAGAGAGAGCAATAGATTTTAGGACACACTGTCATTTGTCCTTATAAACAGGAGATCTTCCTCTTTGTTCCCTGCAGGCCTCAGGGGAGCAATGGCATTTGCACTGGCCATCCGAGACACGGCATCCTATGCTCGCCAGATGATGTTCACGACCACCCTCCTCATTGTCTTCTTCACTGTATGGATCGTTGGTGGAGGCACAACACCCATGTTGTCATGGCTTAATATAAGGTCAGTTTGAAACCGAGGCCATTTTTGTGTCTATACTACTATGCCCATGCAGGCTGTGTTATCACTTACTTCGTGGAAGGTTTTTACAGTTTTTTATTTTGTTTGGGGGAGAGATTAAAACTAAAAAACAATAAAAATTCATAGTATTGAATTTTCTGGGACAAAAAGAGTCATTAAAATTTTTGTTGGTACAAAAACACAAAGAATTAGAAACACCTGGGCCTTGCTAGAGCAGCGACATTTGGGCAAGAATCCAAAAAGTCTAAAGCTACAGGAGAGAGAATAGACATAGCTCTTGGCAACATCTGGTATTTCACAATTAAGTTTTGTTTTTTAAAATTAGAGTTTTGTTTTAGGAGGAAACTGCTGTGTCTCTTTTTGCTTGAGTGCACAAAAGAGGTGACATTTCCTGCATAACCCTCATTTGTTGCAGCCTCATGGACGTCCCTTGCCTGTGGTTTTGCAGCTGTGTCAGAATGAAGGGGCACTGACCTGAGTTTGATTTTTTTTAAAGAGCATTTAAATTCCAAACTGGGCTTGTGAGCTCCAAAACCCTTTAGTAATGAGGACTTTGGAACAGGGATCAAGAGGCCAGCAGCCCAGCTCTGGCTCTGGTTTAATGCAAGCCCCTCATGTCTTTGGGATTTGGTTTGTCTCAACGGTAAATAAAAGTGCATTTTCAGAGTTTCCCAGATAACCTTCAGCTCTGAGTGAACACTGCAACATTGGAGGTGCTCTCGCCACCTGCCTCAGTTTTGGGTCTGCAGAGGGTGAAAGGGATAGGAATGGGAAGACACTTGGGTAGTGCAGAGGTGTAAAGAATTCTCTGAAAAGCCACAAGATGGCAATGTTTTTTTCATTCTCTGCTGGCTTTTAGTTTGTATTTTCCTTCTCTAGAGTGTAGAATACATGGGACTGACAGCTGCCAAGCATACCTAGATTAGAGGAGAGAAAATGAACAAGGATCTCACAGTCATCCTTGGAGTCAGAGAGAAAACTGGAATTTGAGAGAATAGTCTCCCCCATTGGGGACTTTTATATTGATGGCAGGCAGGGGTTCCTGGGTTTGGCCACTACCATTTCCGGGCTGGTGTGTCTCAGCCACAGAGCGGGGGTGGGGTATCTGCAGAATCTATGTGGGGCTTATCAGTGACAGTCATATAATAGCTAACACTTGTGCTGCAGGTGGTGTTTAGAATGCCACATGTATATTAATTAAGGTAATTCTCATAACATCCCTATAAGGGAACTGCTACTATTATCTTCATTTTAGAGTTGGGGACACTGAGGCACAGAACAATACATTGCCCAAGGTCACAAAGCTTTAAGTCAGGGGTGAGGAACCTTTTTTCTGCCAAGGGCCATTTGGGTATTTATAACATCATACAAAATTATCAACTTAAAAATTAGCCTGCTACATTTGGTCAAACAATTAATTAACTCACTCCTAATGTAATGGCTAGAACTGCTTCTTTTTGGTGAGGCCTTGGCAGGGCCAGACCAAATGATTTCAGGTCAGATGTTCCCTACCCCTGCAATGGACGAGTTGGGATATGAATCCAGGCAGTCTTGCCACAGAGTCCACACTCTTTTAACTACTACTGTGCTGTACCGCCCTTAACAAGGCTTGCTGTGTTAAGGCTGTTTTTCATGTTGTAAAATTTAGGATGCTTAGAATTTCATTTTTTTGGCATGAATCTCAAGAGTTATATTAAAGAAAGCAATTCATCTGTGGTAATATAAACCCAAAGAAAAAAATGTATAGATTTTTGGCTTGAAACTTGAGACATAAGATGGTACTATCTTTGTTCTGTGTAACAGAATAAGAACAAGAAAGGAAGTTTTTACCCTATACACAGTTGTGAATCTTTGCATTTGGTTACCTCTGAGATTACTTCCTGCTCCTATTTGGTCACCAAGCAGGTACCCTGGATGCTCAGAGCCTGATTGTATCATATTTGTTTTTAGTGCTATTTTATAAGTCCTTTTTGCCCCCCCCCCCACCAACATATACAGGATCAAATAATTTTCCACTGAGAGCAGAGAGTTGACTTGTAACATTTTGCACTTCTCATAACCCTTTTCAAGAAGTGGGCCATCAAAACAGTCCTACTGAGAGCTGAGAGAGTGGGCAGCTTTCACTAAGGCACACAAGCTATATATGTATGAATATAATATAGTAATTGAATTTTTGTGAAAATATCAATGTAATATATATATAGCACTTAGAACATAGCAGCTAGCACATAGTGATGGGTCAGAAATGACTATGTGCATGACTGTGTGTATGAGAGATTCAGTTTCCCAATATCATTGCAAGCACTTGGTGTTATCACAATTTTTTCAATTCAGCTGTTCTAATAGGTGTTGGGGATACCTCACTGTGGTCTTAATTTGCATCTCTCTCATGGCTAATAATGTTGAACATCTCTTCGTGTGCTTATTTGCCATTCATACATCTTTTATGGCAAAATATCTGTTTAAGTCTTTTATCCATTTTCTAATTGGATTGTTTTTTATTGAGTTTTGAAAGTTCTTTAATTTATTCTAGGTGCTAGTCTTTTGTCAGATGTGTGGTTTGCAAATATTTTCTCCTAGTCTGTAACTTGTCTTTTCATCCTTTTAAAAGCGTCTGTCATAAAGCAGAAGTTAATTTTGATGAAATCAATTTATCATTTTTTCTTTTATGGGTTGTGCTTTTTTATTTTATTTTATTGTTGAAAGTATTACAGCTCTCCCCTTTTCCCCCCTCATTGATCCCCTACACCTGGTATCCCTCCCCCCAAGGTCTTCTCCACACTATTGTCTGTGTCCATAGGTCATGTTATGGATTGTGCTTTTGAGGTCATGCCTAAGGACTCTTCATCAAGCCCTAGGTCTCCAAGATTTCTTTCAGTGTTACCCTTTAGAAGTGTTTTAGTTGTATGCTTTGCATTTAAGTCTGTGATCCATTTTGACTGAATTTTTATTTAAGAAGTGAGGTTTAGGTCAAGGTTTTATTTTATTTTATTTGAGTATGGCTATCCAGTTGTCAGCATAATTTATCCTGACTCCTTTGAATTACTATTGCTCTTTTGCCAAAGATCAGTGGGCCATATGCATGTGGGTCTGTTTCTATTCTGCTCCATTGATTCATGTATCTGTCCCTCCACCTGTACCACACCGTCCTGATAACTATAGTTATATAATAAGCCTTAACATCAGGTAGAGTGAGTCTTTCCACTTTATTCTTTTTAAAAACTGTCATAGCTATTCTAATTCCTTTCCATATACATTTTAGAATAAATTTGTCTATATGTTTTCAAAAATCTTGATGGGATTTTCATAGGAATTATGTTAAACCTGTATCTCAATTTGTGAAGAATTGACATCTTTACTCTGTTGAGTCTTTGAATCTATGAACATGGCATTTTTCTCTATTTATTTAGATTTTCTTTTATTTCTTTCATCAGTATTTTATAGTTTTCAGTATACAATGCCTGTACGTGTATTGTTAGATATATGTGTAAGTATTTCTTCTTCTTTTTTGAGCAATTGTAAAGGTTATTCTGTCTTTAATTTCAGTTTTCATGTGTTCATTGCTAAGATATAGAAATATGGTTGGTTTTTCTGTGTTTATCTGATATCCTATGATCTTGTCAAACTCACTGATTAGTTTTAGGAGGGTTTGTTTTTGTTTTGGGGTGGTTGTGTGTGGGTGTTTTTTGGTAGAGTCTTTGAGATTTTCTAGGTAGACCATCATGCCATTTGCAAATAGAGACAGTTTTATTTCTCTTTTCCAACCAGTGTGCCTTTTATTTTGTTGATTTATTGCTCTGGCTAGGACTTTCAGTATTACGTTGAATAAGAGTAATGTGAATGGACATCCTTGCCTTGTCCCTGATCTTAAGGGGAAAGCATTCTGTCTTTTGCCAATAAGTATGATGTTATCTGTAGGGTTTTTGTAGATGTTTGTCATCAAGTTGAGGAAGTTTCTACCTATTGCTAGTTTTCTGAGATTTCTTTAAAAATCATGAACAGATGTTGAATTTTATCAAATGTTTTTCTGTATAAATTGATATGATCATATTGTTTCTCTTGTTTAGCTTGTTAATATAGTGGGTTACATTGATTTTTAAATATCAAACCACTTCACTTCTCTAAAATAAACCCCACTTGGTTGTGGTGTATAAATTCTATAAATATTGTTGAATTCTATTAGCTGATACTTTGCTAAGGATTTTTGTGTCTGTGTTCATGAGGGATATTGGTCTGTAGTTTTCTTTTTATACACTGCCTGTGTCTGTTTTTGGTATCAGGGTAATCTGGCATCACAAAATAAGTTGAACATATTCCCTACTCTTCTGTTTTCTGGAAGAGATTGTGTAGAAGTGTTGCTAATTCTTCTTGAAAGTTTTATGGAATTCTTCAGTAGAACCATCTGGCCCTGGAGACTTCTTTTCCAGGGTTTTTTAAACCATGAAGCCAGTATCTTTACTAGTCATATGGCTATTAAGATAATCTATTTTATATTGGGTGAGTTATGGTAGTTTGTGAGATTGATCTGCTTCATCTAAGTTGTCATATTACCTTATTATCCTTTCGATGCCTATGAGATCTCTAGTACTCTCCCCTGATATCACTGATACAGGTAATTTGGTAATTGCTAATTCCTGATATTGGTAATTTTTATCTTCTCTCTTTTTTTCTTTGTCTTGCTAGAGGTTTGTCAATTTTATTGATCTTTTCAAGGAACTAGCTTTTTATTTCATCGATTTTCTGTACTGTTTTTCTTCTCAATTTCATTGATTTCTGCTCCTATCTTTATTATTTTCTTCTTTCTGTCCAGCTTTACCCAGACAACATAATGAAGCTAAGTGTGCCATTGGTGAAAAATACACATCATGTCAGTTTACTGCATTTTCCATGTATATATAAATAGTGATTGTGTAAGTGTAGAAACTGACATTTACAGAGATTATATCAGAAGAAATTCCCACAAGATTGTTATTCTAAATTGATTCAGAAACCCCCTGAAATTCAACATGCTGTTTTGACTACTGTGACCTTAGTAAGATCAGTACCTGCTTGTTTCTCACTTCTCTTAGACTTCTGACAGAGGCGCTACTCAGAAGTCAGAAGCCCAGGATAGGACTCAGAGTTCCACCATAAATAATTAGGAGTTAGCTGTGATTTTTAACCATGGCTAATTTCTAATCTGTGTATAAAATAAAAATGAGTGTAACCACAAATCCAAAGCCAGGTCACTGCTTTCCAGAAATCCAACTTATCTTTATTTTTAAATTTATCTTTATTGTTGAAAGTATCACAGATGAACCCTCCCTCCCCCACCATTGACTTTTAAATTGGTATTTTGTAATTGATATTTTAAAACATAATGGCAAAATGCTCATACTGTTTTCTGTTAATGCACAAACTACATAATACTTTTCCTAGTCTTTTGAGCAAGTGTTGCTATTCACAAAGGACAAAATTTTGGCAACTTAAAAAAATGATCACCAGATTATTTCAGCAGATAAGTCTTGTATATGGCCTGAGTGCATTTTGGCAGCATGGTGGCTGTCCTCTTGGAGTGCCCAGCTTAAGTGACACACTTGAAATGGTGGTCATGATGGGAGGTGGAATAGCACACACCCAGGAAGTCAAATGAACAGGTAACCTTGCTACCCCAGAGTGCAGTAATAGAATCGCTCAAGGACAAGTGAGGACACTCTGTCCCCTATAATCCTATTAGACTGAGCATTTGTGATAAAGCTTTGTAAGAAAGCTTAAGGAATAAAGGCTGCAAGAAGCCCTGAGCTCTTTATGTAATAGCATTTGTAACTAGATATTTTTAAGGATTTCAAGATGACACCTTGTAATCAAAGACAGTATCCTAGAAGGTGAAGAGCTGGGCTCTCGCTCCTAACAGACTCAGTTGCAATCTTGGTTCCACCATTTTTCACCTTTGTGACCTTACGCATCTTATTTAACTTAGTTTCCTTACTGGTTAAATGGGGATGATAATAGTGTGAGGACAAAATGTGATAATTAATAAATGTGATAAAGAATTTTCTCATTAAAGGTACCATCTGGCACATGGTAAACATTTAGTATATTTTTGCTGTTATATTATCATTACTAATCATAGTATCACTACTGCTATGATTACTATTATTACTGGTGAATCTTACATTAGTGGAATCTAGCTTGCTTTTCTGGAATTTGTTATAATTTTTAATACTATAGTAATATACAGAGTCTGGATAAGTCACAGTCTGAATGTGTGACTAAAAGTACCACTTTAAGAAGCATCGCCTCTCACTTGCGTATTTCAGGGGCTATTAGTAGCACGAGGATTTGGGCATGTCTAGCACAGTGTTTTTCTTTCTTTTTTTTTTTTTTAAATATATCTTTATTGATTTCAGAGAGAGGAAAGGAGAGGGAGAGAGAGAGAAAGAAACATCAATGATGAGAGAGTCATTGATCGGCTGCAGCCCACAACCCGGGCATGTGCCCTGACCGGGAATTGAACCCTGATTGCCTGGATCCTAGGTCGATGCTTAACTGCTGAGCCACGCCCGGCCGGGCAGCACAGTGTTTTTCAACCTTTTTTTTTCATTATTGGCCCCTCTAAGGAGCTTTTAAAAATGTTTTCCTCAATTTTAATACCACAGTAAAATTTTAATTATTTTTCTTTTTAAGAAATTTCAATACCACAGATCTACTACATGTCTATGTACTATAATGCTTTAGAGGTTACAAACCATTGTAATATGTAAAAAATTTTTGTCCTACAAGAACCAATTTTCACACACATGGGGTCAATATCACCTCCCATTGAGAATACATGATTTAATGCAGTGGTTCTCATCTGAGGGCAATTTTGCCTCCTAGGGGACATTTGTCAATGTCTGGTGACATTTTTGGTTGTACTGGGGTGGGTGAGTGCTTACTGGTATCATGTGGGTAGAGGCCAGCGCTCAAAATATCAATAGTGCCAAGTGTGTGAAACCCTGCTCTTTGTATAATGGTGAAGTTCAAATACATTCTGAATAACCCAGCAATTATTAGGAAGGTAAAAATGGACCATGCCACCTCTAAGGTCACTGGTGAAGAGAATAGCAGAAGCTGGGTTCCTGACCTTCAGACTGAACACATGGGCAATGTGATATACTTGTCTAGAAGAAAAGGCCATCTCTATCTTCTTAAGTATTGTTGCTGTTTTCAATAATATAGTGCTTTTTGCTCTTTCTGCCAAATATGTGTAAAAATATGTGAAAGCACTTCAAATATGTGTTTAGTAACAACTTTGTTTTCTATTTTTGTATGGATATGTCTTGCTTTATGAAATGGATGAATTCCTGAAAACAATTGTATAAACTCATTTCCTATGAGTTGAGTTGCATTTATTCCTCTGATTTCATTTCAATATATTTTGAGAGGCTTATCTTCATTCCTAGTTGATCCTCATTTGACCTGGCTCCTAGCATTGTTGCTTTAAATGTAACTTTAGCAGCCTCTCTATGTTTTAGAGAGTAGGAATAGTTTAAGAGAGGGTATGGATTTATGTTTAAAGTGAGACAGTCTATTCTCTGATGGATGTGGTCCAGGTCATGTGCCCAGAGCTCCTGGCTCCCCTGTTGTCCCTGTCACACTCACGTTCCCTTCTTCTGCTGGCCAGAGTTGGCGTCGAGGAGCCCTTTGAAGAGGACCAGAATCAACACCGCTGGCAGTACTTCAGGTGACACAAGGGCATCCTCAGAAACAAATTAACTGGGCCTGGCTTTTCTCCTTTTTCTAACCTGAGATGTTTCTCTTTATGCTGTTTGCCTCTTTCTTTCTTCCTGCGTGTGCCAACCCTGTGCCCTTTTTAGCAAAGGGGCAAGAGACCAGGTCAAGTTTAATCATTTTTCCACTTTTTCTCTGGGCTGGCTGATGTATCAGTGTTCCCGAGATTGTGTCTCCTTACCCTGCACTTTGGCCAGTGTTGGCCAGTGTCTCCTTGTACAACTGAGCTAGCTCAGTGTTAAGAGCAGCACATTTGCAGAGCCACAAATACTTTCCCCACAAAATTCTGCTTATTTTCTAGTAAACAAGGCTTCTAACTCATAAAGAGAATTAGAATTTTATATTTCAGCCATGGCCAGGGTATGGCTTACACCATCTTAATTGAGTACTGTTTTAGTTTTTTAGTATGTTTTGTGTACTTGTACTTTATCATGGTGAATCAGACGATACGAAAAACAGGTGTTTTTAATCCAAAAGATAATTAAAGGCTCTTCTAATGCAATTTGTTCCTCAGTGTGCATCCAAGTTTTTTATTTGATTATGCTTAAGGGTAGTGATGTTGGGCAGTCAGAAGAAAGACTTTAATGTTCTTTCCTTTCTGTATCTTTAACCAGCATGCTTTCTTCCTGATCTGATTTTGGATGCTGGTCGATAATTCAAAAGCAAAATAGGCTTGAACTCTGTTCTTGGCATTGTGAAAGCATTTCTCTCTTTGAGCACAGCATTGAAAGCAGCTATAGCTGTCATGGATCTTGGGATATCACTAGGTCCCAGAAGTACACTGTAATGACTTACATTCAATTAATTGAAGCATTTAAATTTCCTGGGCTCGAACTTTTTTCTATTGTTTACAGTACACACACATATTTATTTTCGGAGATCTGACCTTAGATACTGATTAAGTTGCAGAGGAAACCCTCTCCTTAGAAATATTCCGCCTTCACGGAGGAAGGTGCTTCAGGCAAAGTACAAATGATTGCACTTGGGACGGGAGAGAATGCAGATGCTGATCTGTCGCTCAAGGTTTTTTATGCAGGTGGGTGTCTAATGTCCCTCAGATTATTTAGGACCTCTGTCATTCAAATTTTAAAAAACCTATTGATTAAAGTAGATAGTTCTAAATTTCTAAATTTTAGAAGTTCTAAAATTTCTGAAAATTTATGGCATTTTTATGGCAGTTAATCAGAGTATACATGTTGTACCAGAAGGGAAATTATTCATTTTTAAAATTTAATCATTTGAGAATGAACACATCCATTTGATTGCTTTATTTTCTCATTTGGTGTGGGATTTCCACATATATCTCATTCTTAATGAAAAGAAGGATAATTCAGTTTATTCTAGAAGAAAAGGCAGTTGTATGTGCTTTGATTAGCTCAACCCCGATGTATCAGGGGAATGCTAAAATATGGTATAATAAAAGAGCACACAGTTGTAGATTTGTAGTGTCACAGATTAAAAGCATTATAGCAGGTCAGAAGAGAAATATGTATTATGGACAGTTGCCTGAAACTAGGAATTTCAGAAAGTCAGGGAACCCCCAAGTCTTCTGAGGCATTGTACTTAAAAGACTGTACCTAGTGTTTCTTGCTGCCCAGAGCACCATCAGACACCCTGGCCCATTGCTTAACTTCTGTCTCCAGAGACCAGGCTGGTTTTAAGCTCTGCCCCAAGAGTGAGGCACCTTCTAGTTGTCCAGTGTCATCCTTGGGGATTGGTCCAAGGGGCCCTCAACCCTGCCAGAAAAGTAATTATTAAATTGTCCTAAAGTAAACAGCCTTCAATGGGAAAAGAAATCAGAGAATACCATTTGAGTCTCAGGGCTCATGGTTTGTTTTCTTCTGTTATTTAAAAAGCAGTAGCAGTCCGGGAAACAGGTCTTTGTTTCCTTCTTCAGAACTCTCCTACCAGCATTTATACCAGTAGCAGTGGCCTCCAAGGCCACTTCAAGGGGCCCTCCCATGTTCCTCTGCCTGTGGGAGGGTCCAGGAGGTCCTTTTAGGCTTCATGCTGTCAGGAGTTTGTCGTGCATCTCAGACAGGTAGTTGATAGCAAGTGGCTACAGCAAGGCATAAGGAGGTAAAAGCAAGGAAAGGGGATGCTGGGTAGGACTGTGCTTAGAACTGAGGATTTCCTGAGAAATGACATCAGAAGATGGCTGAATTGATTAACTATATGTTTCAATTAAGTAGCGTTTTTCTCCTTGCTCTTCACTTTTAGGAGAATTCAAAAAAATATTCCAGGATTTATCTGGAAAAGAAAAGCACATAATTACCAGAATCGATATCTACCTATTTACCTATTACCTATATTTACCTATTATAGCATCCATGGCTCTTTAATCTCTTTTAGTATAGAACAACCCTCACCTCCTTTTTTGTCTCTTATGACATTGAGGTGTTTTTGTTTTGTTTTTTTTTAAGTATTAAGGACAGTTGTCTCGCAGAATGTCCCACGATCTGGATTTTTATGATTTGTTTTCCTCATGACTAGAGATAGATAATCATTTTTTGGGAAAAAAGCCCAGCCCACCACCCTGTAAAAGTGATGTTATATATTTCTTGTTGCATCTTATCGTGTGGTGCATATTGCCAAGCTGACCTTTATTAGTGATACTAAATTTGATCACTTTAGACCCCAGGTCACTCCACTATAAAGATACCATTTTCCCTTTGTAACTAAAAAGTAATCTGTAGAGTGATCTTTTGACATCATATGAATATCCAGATTCTCAATAACCTTTACCCACTGGTAAATTACCCACTGATGACCCTTGCTTGAAACAGTTATTACACTAGTAGTGGAAAATGGGGATTTTCTATTTCTGCAGTTCCCTTCATGTTTATAAGATGACATTTATCTATAAAGAAGAGCTTTCAGCAGGTTTTAAATTTTATTTTATATACTGATGAAGTGAGGAATCTCTCCATTGTCTAAGTAATGAGTTCAAGCCAAGTTTTACATCATATTTGTGGCACTTGTGGTTCCGTCTCTGCAGGATCTCAGCAGGCATCTTGGGCATTATCATTGAGAAGGCAAAAGGTAGGAGACAGTTGTCATTTTTTTTAGAAAAGAGAGAGATGTGGCTGGAATTAGTACTTTCTGGAATCTTCACTTTCCAATTCAGTAGCCACTAGCCATATGTGGCTATTTAAATTCAATTTTTAATTAATTAAAACTAAACAAAATTTCAAATGTAGTTCCTTAGTCATATTAGCCACATTTCTAGTGCTCAGTGGCCACATGCAGCCAGTGGCTACCACATTGGAGCGCAGATCTAGGACATTGCCATCGTTGCAGAAAGTCCTGTTGGGCAGTGTAGATCTAGAATCACTCTTAAGTTCCCCCAAATGAAATGTTCTACATCCCAAGTTTGGGATGAGGTTAGGGTGTCCCTAATTTTGTGAGTTTATCAATTATTCCATTGCTTCATACTTTGTTGTTTTGATTCTGGCCTGGCCAGGGTGAATAGATGAATTCCACTGATGTGGCCAGGATGTAAGTGAAAGTAGTCAAAACCTAGTCTTGTTAAACAGAATCTATTTTAATTCTTGTTCAACATTTTTTTTTTCTCTCTGAGTAGAGATCAGTTAAAAGAAAAGATGGGGCTAAATTTCATTTGGCAGCTTTTATTGTATTAGACTTTATTTTCTTCATTGCAGTACAGGGTACACTTCAGCCTTTCCTCCTATCCATAGGCTTCCTATTTCACCCAGGCTGATAAAGTCAATTGGTTTTATCTCTACTGACATGAAAGCCACGTACAAAGGCTAATACATCTGTTTCAAAATTCACGGTACAGAAAGGAGAGAGCATTAGTTCCAGGTCTGAATTGCCATACTCCTGGCCATACTGTACTTCATGCCCTTCAGATCACATAATCTTGTTACTGCTGCCCCACAATAGCTGCTCTGTGGTTAGGCTGAGGGCTGTTGGGTCACCTGTTGTTCAGGTAGCCTGTCTGGGAGACAGTGGGTTAACTGACACTCTGCCCCTCTAAGTTTGCACCAGGAGCTTATCTGAGTCAATTAGTCTGCCATGAAGTGGCTTTGTGCTGCTATAGAATTCACAGAACAAGGCCAATATTGGATCCCTAGCTGTTAATTTTACAAATGCTGACCAACTGTCATAGAGGCTTATTCTCTGTGTAACATACATTAAGAGACTCTCAAAACAGGTGAGAGTTCAGGATCAATAGCTAGAAAGTCAATTTGTGACCTCTTCTCTACCACTTTGGTACATTAGACACTTTGGGTGCACTTATGCTCTGGCATGACTTTTGGGGGCAGTCCTGGGACCTCTGAATTAGGTGGATTTCATGTCAAAAAAATCTCTGTGAGATTTGTTGCTGGATAAAAGTCCCTGGATAATGTCCAATTTTGAAGACAAACCTCCAGCCCTCAGAAACTCTTGCCTAGAAGCAGCTTATAGACATGTAGCAAAGCCCATCTAATTTACTACAAAGATCCCATCAAACCTCAGGCCCATGGGGAGGAAATCTGACACTAGGTACACTATAGGTTTTAACTAAGTGCCCAGAACAGTGCCTGGCATAGTAGGCACTTAAAAAATATTTGCTGAATACATGAATTCATCTTGTGGGTTTAAGCTTTGCCTTCAACAAAATATGGAGTAACTGTTCCCTTTCCTTCTATATCCCACTCTGTCCAGGGGCATGCACTTTGAGTTAGTGCTTGACAAGCTTGGAATAAGAGAGTAGAGGCTGGTTTTGGAGGTGGGGTGAATCTGTGTTTTCTATTCCCCTTTTCCATTAGTATCTTTTCTCAAGAAATATCCTGGGCATCACAGGTGGGGAAGAGGGAAGGAGAGGAGGAAAAGTAAGACACACACAGGGCTTTGTGCATCTGAGGTCTGCTCAGTGGAGTGAGCACCCTGGTCACTGCAGATAACACTCCTGGTCAAGGCCATTCAGCACCTTTCTTCAAGCCAAAATCAGACCTGCTGTGTTCTCTTTACCTTTATAATATCATCTGTGTGTGGTTTTTTTTTTTTTGTGATACTGGAGGGAGCGAGGGAAGACAGAGAATTTTCCTGGCATCTTAGTTTTCTCCCTCATTGCCCCATTTTATCCATGTTATCTATGTCAGAATCAGGAAGGCACAGGGATAAAAGAATTAACAGATGCATAGGGCAACAGTTGGTATGTTACTAAGTCAAGAAAGTGCTTTTATAGAATTTGTTATAAGTGGATTTTGCCACTTTGCTTTTGCTTTCTGTCTTCAGTTGTTGGTCTTAGATGTGTGACTTCTCAGGTCATCTCTGCTGTGGGAGGACGTGGCGGCACTAGGAAAAAAAGCTAGAGATATGCATGCTGAAGTATTTAGAGGCAGTGTGCTGATGCCTGAAACTTTATTTGAATTTATCAAAAAAGTAAGATGGGTGATAGATAGATGGATAGAGATATAATAAAGAAAATACAGCAAAATGTTAATGGTAGTATAGGTTTTCACTGTAAATTCTTTCTATACTTTCTTGAATATATGAAAAGTTTTATAACAAAAGTTTAGGGAAATATAAGCAGGGCAGGGCAGAAGTGAGGAAGCAGTAGAGAGGAAAAGGGCTGGTACAGTGGGACCCACATTTTTATAACGGACAGCCTGGTACAGGAAGGCAGATCAACTGTTGCCAGCTGTTGCTGATGCTCAGAGGCCTTGTTCAGGGTGTAAGCACATAGAATTTATTTCCCCTTCTACCCCTTGGGGTCTGATGTGGTACATAACCTCTTTCTCACAACTTTTGCATGACAATCTTCCTCTTTTAGCTAATCATTCCTTCTGCTTTGGTAAGATGGTCATCCTCTTGCCAACTTTCAGCCAGGATGGCTGCCATGGTCCAAGCTAATACTCTTCGTTTTCCTCCTTGTCTTTCTCCCTGGTGATTTATAGAGTTGGTGTTGACCCAGATCAAGACCCACCACCCAACAACGACAGCTTTCAAGTCTTACAAGGGGTAAGTCACAAGACATGCTTCTTCCGAGGGAAGACATTAAAATTTTAAAATAAAAAATAGCTAAATTTTATTGAGCATTTATTACATACTAGGCACTTTACATAAATTCCCTCATTGTGATCTTAACAAGAACCTTATGAGGTAGGTACTGTTATCCCATTTTGCAGATTTGAAATTGAAGTTTGAGAGTTTCAGTGAGTTATATATATAAGGCCAGAGAATTAGAAACTAATGGAGCCAGGGTTTGACCCCAGAGACAGTGTCCTTAAACAACATATTAAGGCAGTGGGCTGGCTAGAAAGACTAAGCTAAGTCCCTGACTCCCTACCTTCCACGAGTAGATATATTGGATAAATTGGTGATTGGTTCACTGTGACTGGTTCTGAGTCTCTCAGTCGCATCCAGGCAGAGGAAGGAAAGGGATTGCAGGCTCTCCTGTTCTTCTAGGACCTGGGGTACTCTAAGCTGAGTTTTCTTCCAGCCCAGCAATGGCAGAGTAGCAGCCCTCATTCCTGTGTAGGCTGAAGGTCACAGCAAGGCTAACAGTTAAGGCTTGGACAGGGCAGTGGCAGCAGTGACAGCCTGGAGCAGAGTGTGGGGAGGGAAGCTGTAGAGGCAGTGTGTGGAAGAGCCCTATGGCAACATTTAGTGTGAGCACAGGGAAGAGTGTCTGCAGCAGCAGAGAATCCTGATGGCTTTTGGTATGGCCATCTGCACCAGTTGCCATTGCTGCATAATAAACTGCCCCAAACGTAGGAGAGTGAACAACTTCTTCTACTCATGTATTCTTTAGGTCAGGAATTTGGAAAGGGCCTAGTAGGGATGGCTTGCCTTTGCTCCATGAAAAAGGCCGGGGGTAATGCGAGACTGGGGCTGGAATCATCCCAAGGCTGATTTGCTCCTATGTCTCGCTCCTGAGCTGGGAGGACTCACACAAGGACAGCCAACTAGAATGCCAAATTGTGGCTTCTCCATGTGGCTTCAGGGAACTGGACTCCTTATATGATGGATTATGGTTCCAAAAACCAGTGACCCAGCAAGCGAGGTGGACACTACATAGTCTTTTCTGACCTAACCTTGGAAGTCTCACAGCATCACTTCTGTGACTTTCTATTGGTTATAACGAGTTGCTAGGGCCAGCCCAGGTTCAAGGGGAGGGGATAGACACCATAATCTCTGGATGGGAGCAGTGTCAGCAAAGTGGGAGACATGCTTTAATGCTGCCATATCACCCCTGTTGTGGAACTGGCAGGATGATTTTGTCTCCAGGTTTTGCTCCTTTCCCAGGTTGGCATTTCCTAGGCAAGCCAAGTAAGGGAAAGGAGAGTTCTGGTAAGAGCAGAAATTTGTTTCCAAATGTTATTATTTGCCGTTGGGAGTCAAGAACAATTCTGTTCAGCATTGGATACCCAGTGCTGAGCATAGTGCCTGGCACCTGGGGAGCTCAAGAGGTATTTGATGGGCAGGTGCAGGCATGAAGCACCAGTGCAATAGGAAGCTTTATGACCACACGCATGTGTTGTCTGTGAAGCCATGTCGAGTGTTTTTCTTCCAGCCACCTTTGAATTAAACTCGTCATTGCACTTCATTCTAAATCCAGTCTACATATTTCAGATTCCATAGGATCTTCTAAATGATTCTATCTACCAAATCACATGTAACAAGTGTTGCAAAATGTGGTGCTGTGCGGGGCCCAGGGGATGCTTTTCTGATTTCTTTCCCTTTGAGGGTGGTCACAGCCTGATAAGGCATTCTTGGTGTTGATGCCCCTTGAGGAACACAAAGCCATGCCCTCTGAAAGTTCTGGACATTTTGGGAAGAGCTTTCAATGAGCTACATTGGTACCCACTTCAATGGTGCTCCAGAAGTCCTATGTGATTATATTAGAATTGGCCATTGTGCCAGTTGGGAACATGTGGTTTCAATGAGAAGTTCTTTTTGAAAAGTTGCTGTTTGACCCTAGCTTTGATTAATAATTTTAGTAGGTGGGATTCAAGAACTGTGCACTTGGAAGATAATTTAGAGTAAAACATTTTGGGAGATCTTGAAACTTACCCTGAGAAAACCTGGGCGAATGTCTTGGATGGATATCTTTATTTCACTGAAAAGAAAACAATGGCTCTGGTAGGACATGACCACCCTCTTTGAAAAGTATTCTCCACAGACCTACAGCTAGTCAAGATTAATTTTATAAGAAAAACAGTCCAATTCCAGCTGGACAGCCAGGATTTAGAGAGATTTCATCTTGACAGTTCAGGCCAGTCAAACACCTCCCAGCCTTTTTGCTGTTTACCATTGCTCTTGCCTTTGGACCCAAGCATCTGTAAAAGGAAATATGGAAAATAGTTTGGTTGGTTTTATGCAGCTTAACTTATTATACATCTCATAGGAACTGCACATAGAGACTATGGACTAGTAACCAAACTTAGTAATAAACTTGCTGTCACTTTTCCATGGAAACGTTTAAGAAAGCAGTAGGGTTCTAGATGTACATTTAGTCCATGCAGTGATAGCTAAGATAGTGCCCTCTGCCCCAGATGGGTAAACCTTCCTGGATGGGTAAACTCAGTGACACTGTGTTCCTGACAGCTCTCTGGAGAACCTTTTGGGCCAATTGTAAAAGGATACAGCCATTCACTGCACTCCCAGTTGGCCAGTCCTAGTTAAGAGCTGTGTCACAGCTTCCCCTTAACTTCCCTTTTTCCATACCTCACACACAGTCATGCAGAGGGCCCCCAAAGTCAGTTCCGTTGGCATATCAATATTGCTGTCAGAGTGGACCAAAACAAAAAGAACTTTAAGTTTGATTCTCCCAGGACACCCTCTTAAAAATGACTCATGCCCTTCTGCAGAAATGGCCTTATTTCTCTAACTCCTCCTGGCCTGTCCTTCTTGGCACTGTGAGCCACTAACAGCAGTGCTGGGAGTACTCAGTGGTCATGAGAAACAGGAAAACAGAAAGATAAATGGGCTTCTCATTTTTGGGTGAAACTCTGGGTTCTTGCAGTTTCCCCTGAAATAGATCCAGGTCACACACTCCCTGTTGTCATGAAACTGAAATCAGAAGTGGCGAAAGTCCAGATGTTTGTTCTCCATTGGAAAAGAGGGCAGTTCTCTTTACCTCATTTTCTAAATGATCTTTCTAAAAACAAACAAAAAAGTGATATTTGATGGGAAAGCATTTTTTTATATAGAGTACAATTTTCCTCACTGATTCTAGAAGGAATCAGACTATAAACAGAGTCATGGTTACAGGGCTACAGAATATTAGCTCACATGGGTGAGGGAAAGGAGCTATTAGCTAGAACATTTTTGGCTTTATGTGAGGGAAATATAAGAATATTGTGGGCAGACTTCAACTTCTTGTCCTTGGGAAGTTTGACTCATTAAAACAAAACAAAAAACTCAGTTGCTTTGTTTCTTGAAGGTCTTGGTGACTTTGCAACCAAAACAAAAGCAAGTGCAGCTGGAGGCAAACTGCCCAGGCTTGGGGGTGGTTTCACACCCCATTCAAGTGGGGACTTTTCATGCCAGACCCAGCCAAGATTTATGCTGGCCGGACATGCAGACACATCATTAACTTCCTTCCCCAAGTTTACAGAAGAGCACTCACTGATGATGCTTAGTTAGAATCTGAATTTATCCTGGCTTTATCATCTCTGCAGGACAGGGTCACAAGCCGGATGTTAGTGGAATGTGGAGGAAAGGAAACCTCTGTGTTAGCAGTGCTGTGTGTGTGTGTGTGTGTGTGTGTGTGTGTGTGTGTGTGTGCGCGCGCGCGCACAAATATGAAAACTGCAGAAAATCAAGGTCTATAGTTACATTGACAAATAACTTTCTGGGCAAGTTGGATTTGTTTGTTTCTGGGTTCTCCTCCAGTTTTCCTCCCGGCTGAAATCTGATACCCAGTCACTTAAATCTTTAACTTCAAACTGTTGCTGAAGTACCTTTCCTCAAATGCTTACTTTCTGACCCCTCTCCCACCACACTTTTCTTTTGTTCTTCTGATTGCCTCCCTTGGGCCCCTGATTTCCCATGCTGCTGTTCTTTTTATATTTCTTAAAGTTCAAAATTAACATTAAGTTATTCATTCATTTGACAAATATTTATTGAGCATCTGTTATATTCCAGACATTCTTTCACGCTCTGGGAATACATCTGCAGACAAGACAGATGAATCTTTGTCCTTTGGTGACTGTGATAAAGGGTAAGGGTGGAGAGTGGCAGAAGTGAGCTCCTGGAGGGCCTCATCTGCTTTTCCTCTAGGGGCTGTAGATCTATCCTTCTGCTGTCCCAGTTGTACCCATGGACCAGCAGCCTGGGCATGACTAGAGCTTGTTAGATATGCAGACTCTCAGGTCCCACTTCGACCCACTGAATCAGAATCTTCATTTTAACAGGGCTCCCAGGAGGGTTGTGTGCACTTTACTATTCAAGAAGCCCTGGAGTAGGCACTGTAGAGCTCTAGTCCCTGTTTTTACTCCCTTTAATTACTCCCTTTTTGAGAAATCTTGGCCCCATCATCCGAGGGACATGAAAAAGACCAAAATCTGGTTCCATCACTTATTTACTCTTTTGCTCTGCATTAGTGTTGTATTCCTGCTGTAACAGATTGCCATAAACTTAGCAGCTTAAAACAGCACAGTCTTACACTCCTATAGGTCAGATGCCTGGTGGGCTGCACTGGTGTTTTCTCTGTTGCAGGTCTCTCAAAGCCAAAATCAAGTTATTGGCAGGGTTGGGCTTTGGGGGAGAAGCCACTTCCAGGTTCATTCAGGTTGATGGTAGAATTCAGTTTCATGCTGTTGTAGGACTGAGGCTCCCTTTCCTCGTTCACCGTTGACCCGGGGATCAAGCTCAGCTCCTAGAAGTACCCACATTTCCTGGCTTGTGGTCCCCTCCATCTTCAAAGCCAGCAACAGTGAGGAGAGCCCCTGTCACGCTTCAAATCTCTCCTGCCTCTTCCACTGCATCTCTCTGACTCTTAAAGGGGCCATGTG